GTAAGAGAGAACTATCAATGAATTGTGAAAGAGAGAATTTGACAGGTGGGTGTGGCAGGAAGGGTCTGATTTTCTATTCGATAGCTCTGTAACCAAACAAAATTGAAGGCTATAAAAAGTATGCTTTGTTTGAGAGTATTTTATGTTTAATTTTGTACCTTTTTGAGGGGTGGTGGATAAAATAGGGATAATGACATGCTAATAGAAAATGTGTCACGTGGGTCACATTAGTGGAAATTCAGGATTTTTTTAAAATATTGCCTTGTAGAATTAAGAACTTAAAACTTGTATACTATTAAAATATGGATTATTAGCTCAGATTTTATGCTGTTCTAATTATTACAACATAAACAAAGAGTAGTTTAATAAAATTGTGAATGTAAGACATTAAATCCTTATCAATATGTCATGCTCAGTAAAGGGTACCCGGGGCAATAGGGTTAATCTGCAAGTACATCCATTGTGACCCACAACACAGATGGAGTAACAAGAGTATAATTGAGTGAGGACTTATGGGTGTGGGATGAGGGATCCTAATTGAAGGGGTGAACTGCAATTTTAATGGCCCACTCCAATCACTGCCCTACTCTCAACTGAATAGGTTTATCATTATATGTATATTTTATCATTATCACATTCAGGAAGAGGCCTCCATGGTCCACCACCTGATGACTTGGAACTGGAAAGTGGTAAGGACTCCCAAACTCCACTGGAAGAGAAAGGGGGGGGGGGGAGATATTGCGGTGGAGAGTCTGGAGGAACAACAACATCCAAGACAGTGCAACATGTGACTATGAAAACCATATTTTGAAAAGCAGACTACACCTGATTTATTCAATTTAAGTCATAGCAGGGATGGGCAGCTATCCCCTTCTGCTTTACCCATGAAGTCCATGTGTGAGTACAGTCCGGCATGGGCATATTAATGAAGCAAAAACATCACGAGGGCAAACCTACAAGCGATTTGTGGAACACCCCATCTCAACAGTGTGCATTTAGTGGCCATAGAAATTAGAAATGTCAAGATATTATGGCCTTGCAGTGTAAATCTGACTAGTTTAAGTATACCTGGACAGGCACTACTCACCACAGAGCAGGACCCATAAAGAAAAAAATGGACACACCCCTGAAAAATAAAAGGTATATAAACAAAAAAGTATCTCACCAGTCACAGTCTCACTGAAGAGTGAAGGATGGCACAGGTGGATGATGAGTACAGCCAAATGAAAAGTGATAGTTCGGTAAAATTTTATAGAGGGAGTCACATGCCTCAGGAGAGTGTATCACACTCTTATTGGTGGAGGGTCATCACATGATGGTTTGCATGCGAGACCCATTTGAATCAGTCAATTATAAGGTACGTGGGAGCTCAAGGCTTGTAGCATGTGAAAAATATTTTTGTATAGAGAGGGCAGCACTGACCGAAAATATGTATTTGAACGGAGGTAATGTACCATATCAGATAGTGCATTATTCTAGTAACACATCCTGTATTCACCTTATTGATACTAGCAAGATAATAGTTCAGGTTTTTACTGATATGCATTTATTCTAGCAACACACCCTGTATTTATCTTTTTGGTACTAGCAAGATAATAGTTCAGGTTTTACTGAAAAGGATTTATTCTAATAAATGATTGTTATTTATATTACAAATTCCCTTCTTTTAGTTTGTGAAAAGACTGGAATATAACAGCAAAAATTATTTTTAATTCTACAAATACTTAGAGAGGGTAACATGATTCTAATCTCAACATGAAAGCTGATTTCTAAGGGGTGATACTGGTGCAGATACTGGTGCAAGCATGTAAAATAAACGTTTCAACACTAAAAGTTTTTTTTTGACAGTGTTACATTATTCTATCCCTAATATTTAAGATGGGTTAAATAGAGAAAAATTTTTAACAATATTACATGCATGATCCAAATACATTAGGATGTAAAAATTTGGCTATCAAATATTTTTTAAGTGACTAATAAGAATTTAATCATTACTTGAGTAATCAATTTCAATGTGAATTTTTGTGAGAGTGACCACTAAACTCACGAAAGAGTAAATAACAACAATGATCAACCAATGAACTTAATACACAAATCATCGACCTCACAAAATAATATGAAAGGTATATTTAATAAAAAGAGTTTAATGACTTACATTCAGAAATGTTGCACAACTTGCTCGTCTTCCAAAGTCTATGGAATGAATAATACCTGTCGTCTGAGAATAAAAGCATATCAAAACTATAATGGATATCAATCTTTTTTCAGAAATGCATTGTAAATTCAAATTCTTTCTTGAAACCTTTTCATTCACCTCTTCAAAATATACTGGTCTGTATAATTCACAGCTAATTGGAAATTGTTACAACTATTCTACTCTATCATGTCACAATTAGTTAGTGATTTCAATCTTGGCAACATCAAATACTATACAACTGTATACAACCTCTGACATGCTTTATATATTTACTATTACATAACCTGTACTCACACATACCTTTACACTGTAGACATCAATTCTGTTCTTTAATGAAACCAAAAACTTGGAACCATCTGGTGACCAAAGAACAAACTCTCCCACTGAAAGTTGAAATAAAATCGACAATAACATTTCATGAGTGTTTTTGGTAGTGCAATGATACATTGGGAATTACATGCAAATAATTTTTAACAATTTCACAAAACATTCTAAATCACTTCTTCTTTGTTACCATAAATAATTTTATTAATATCTTTTTAAGATGTTAAAAAAAACTGGTGATGATAAGATCAGTAATCACAGAAGCAGTCTGTTCAATAGTAAAAGTTAACTTTTATGAAAACAGAAAATAAACATTAAATTATAATCAAGTATTTTACTTTAGGACATGCAAAGTTAATTAAACTAGTATAATAAAAAAAAAATTAATTTCATAAAGACAAGAGATCAATATATATGTAACCTAGCTAGCTACAGTAATATAGCAAGTTTTAATGTTACAAAACAGTATTGAAACAAGAAAGTTAAAACTACAAAAACTGAGTTACTTAAATTTAAAAGGTTTTTATCCCTACTTTGGGTCAGACAAATATAATTACAGTAATTTGCCAAAGTAGGGATAAAAACCTTTTAAATTTAAGTAACTCAGTTTTT